GAAGAAGAGCGCGCAGCGCGAGCGTCGAGTGTGCCGCGCGCGGAAGCGGGCGCCGCAAATACACCGCGCGAGGTACCGCTTCCACGCGCGCGCCCAACTACTTATACCACGCGCGCGGTTATTGCGCGTCCGCTGGAGCCATCTGCCGGGTTGCGTGCGCGTTAAAACGGGCGATTTTGTGGCGCGGCGCCTGTTTAGCGCGCCTGTTGGAGATGCTCTAAGAGTTCGGTTATCGGACTCCGTCCACGCAACGTACCTGGTGAGAAGGCTAGGTTTTAGTTCCTCGCGGTTACGATTACGTACGTGGGCGGCGATCGATCCGGCCTTGAAGAGGTTGATGGCAGAGATGAGGGAGGAGACCGCGAGGGCCGAGGAGAGTGGAAGGCTGAAGACGCTGCATGAGGAGGCGGCTCACCCGAGGAGCAACTCCGACATGGAACCGGGGGCGGGGTACTTGAGGAGGAAGACAACCGAAGCCGGGGAGATGAGAGGCAGGACGGCGGTGGAAGCTGCAGGCGAGGAGGACTACGAGGCCGACATGGCTGCCAAGTTCCGCCATCGCTGGGAGGAGCGATGGTCTGGCTATTTCGGCTCCTTTGAGGACACAGGTAAGTATAAAACACTACAAGAAATGTGTTAATCCATGACGGATTTTTGGTGACGTTCTCAGAAACCGTCATGATTGATGACGGATTTGTTTGGTTCGTCATGAGATCCGTCACGGATTAATGAGATGAGAACAAACTAAACTACACTGGCGCCCTTACGATGTACCGTCACGGATACCGTCATGAATCGACCATCTGTACACCAAGCAGTCCGTCATGGATGGCTCATACTGATGTGTCACATGTGTTCTACCCACATATGTCCGCCTTAGTTTTTTTAAGTTGTTCAAACTGTCACATCCGGCCTTCTAGTGCTTTGTTTTAGGAAAACCTAATGCTGTTGCAGTGTGTCCCGACGTTGCTTTTTTAGGGGAAAAAGGACTACTACTTTTTTAGGAAAAAAAGAACTATTGCTGTTGTGTCGTCCCGACGTTGGGCTGCTCTAAGTTTTTTTTTGTACAGAAAAACATGATGGGCCTTCTGATGCTTTTTTTAGGAAAACGGAATGCTGCTGTTGCGTGTGCCGTCCCGGCGTTGGGCCGCGTTAAGTATTTTTTTCAAAGAGAAAATTTGTATGATTTCTTTAAAAAGTCTTTATCTTTAAATTAAAAAAAGGAGAAGCAGCTAAAGGCATCGAACTAGGGACCTCTCGCGCGCGCGCACACACACACACCTAAATGCTTTTATATGTTCTTATAGATAATGACCCGCAAAAAAAGTTCTTATAGATAAAATGGGCCAAGTTTTTCAGTTTTTAAAAAGGTGATTGAAACGGGGATTTGAACCACATAGCACTGAACTCTACGTTCCAATGAGCCAAATTATTATGTACAACGAGCCATGTTTTTTTAGTTTCTATAGTACATTTCACGCGTAGGCAACAATATGTTTTTTTCTTTTGCGAAAAAGCAACAATAGTTATGTAATGTACAACTTAACGTCAATGTATAGCAAACATTCATGAAATCTCCTAAATTTTCGTGTCCCTCTAATGAATTAATAACATTGTTCCATGCCCATTTATAAGAATTGTCTATTGTATTTTGATATTATTATCATTTTTTTCTAATAGGTTGCAAATAGAAGTTTCGAGTTATCCCCAAGTATCTTCTGACATTTTTATCTGTTTCTAAGATATGAGCTAAATAAAAAATAATTCCTTAAATATCTTTTTTGAAATGTTTAATCCTTATTTGACTTACATATACATGAAAATGGCAGTACCTCTGGTAACCACACATAAATGCATTTAAACCATAGAAAATATTAAATAATCTCTAAAATTATTGAAACTGCTACAGGACAAAATATATATATTATAGTACATGTGAAAATTCTATAGGAGTATGCCGCATGTTTTGATTAAAAAAAAGAACATCACATGAATAGAACACGAAGACGAGACACGAATTCTAAGCGGTTAGCACCTTCCCACTTGGCAACTTGTCAAGGTGTATCAAAAAAAGTTATGTGTGCATACGAAAAATGTATAATGACTATTTGATAAAGTTCACATGTATTTTTAAAAAAGTAAAGTGAAAATGATAAAAATACAAAAAAAGTGAACTGAAAAAATTCAAAAAGTTTCTTAAAATCATGTACATTCATTCACGACCACAAGCACACAATTATTGTGTATATGCATTTGTGTTTTTTAAGAGAAAAATATTTTAAAAAATGAAAATGTATGTTAAAAAATTATTATGTGATATTAATATAAATTCTAGAAATGTGTTAAAATAGCTCAACTTCTATTAAAAATAAATATGTTTCTTCAAATGCCAGAGTGATTTTAAACTATAAGTTTTTAGTACATGTTGAACATTTTCTTAGAACACGTTGAACATTCGTTTGCAATATTTAAGTCAATACGTGTATTTCTAGGCATTTAACCGATATAATTCAATTTTGAATTGCGAGTGCATTAGGAAGTTGGAAAAATGGGCTGAACTTTTTTACCTATGTTAATAAGTCTTTATTTAGGGGTGCCAATTTTTGGAGGCCGGGCTCCAGTGAGCATGATATTTTGAAAATATGAAAAAGTGTGTTTAAAAGTTTCAAAAAAATATGAAAAAAACATGGAATCATATATGTATTCCGCAAGAATGTGTTCAATTTCGTCGAAAAATGTTGTGATTTGTAGGCTGTACAAAAAAAACAAATTTCTGGCCCAATAACAAAAGTAAAAGGCCCATTTGAAAATGCACATTTGTCTTTTTTCTATACGCCAAATGTAAACGTATAATTATGTGAAATTTTGCATATATATAGTACATGTGCATGTGTGCTCACAAAATAAATTTGGATTTTTTCACGATCCGAGATAATAAAATTTGTAAACAAGCTCACCGGAGCTCGGCCTCCATTGGCATTTTTCGTATATTTAGGCCTTATCCAAAAAGAGAGGAGGAATTCCAAACATCATGGTGCCAAGACTCGACCATGAACATGTAGCTTATCGGCATTTTTGATTTACAAAATTTATACCATGTCTGAAAAACATGAAACCTGATATGGTGTTATCATATTTATGATCCCCATAGAGTGTGATGAAAATTTCAGAAGGTTTCACAGAAGTTATGACGTACACTACTTGGAACCAGAACATATGTAAGGAAGAATCGTGGGTTTGGGAGGGAACGTGTCAGGTTTCAAGGCGAAGTGTTGGTTGCTTTAGTGTTTCACATTGAATTTTTTTCTACGCTCAACATACACCATCACATGTTCCGTGTCAACATTTCACACTTTTTGGAGTTTGTTTGCAATACTTAAGAAATTAAGTGTATTTACATGCATCACATGATCCATGTTAACATTTCACACTTTTTGGAGTTTAAATTTATTATTTTTGTTAATGAGTCTATGTTTAGGCTTTAACCAAGAAAAGAGGAGGAATTTCAAACATCAGGGTGCCAAGACTCGACCCCAAACATGTAGCTTATCATGTTGTAGTCTATAAAATTTAAACTAAGTTTGAAAACACACGAAACCTGGCATGGTGTCACCATATGATCCTTAGAGAGTGTGGTAAAACTTTGAGAAGGTTTCACAAAATTTATGGCGTACACTACTTGGAAAGTGGAACATCTTCGAGGAAGAATCATGGTTTCAAGAGGAGAAATTTTGCCAAGCATATGCACCCATTATGTTATTTCATGATAAATTACATGATTTTGATCTCTTTAAGATATATTATCCTTCCCCCCTATAGGTTGCAAATAGAAGTTTCAATTCTTCACAAAAACTTTTGAAACATTGTTCCATTTTGGGATATGACCTAAACATATACACTTGAATATCTACTTCAAAAGATTATATAACTTTTTTCACACAAATGTAGTTCGAAGTGGAATGATTTTCAATACACATGTGAAAGTTCATTAAACAATAGAAAAAATATATCATTTGGATTTTTTTGAAACTCCTAAAAACATATATTTAGCATACCTAATGTAAAAATGTATTGGGGTACATAAGATATTTTTTGCAAGTTACTACTTCACACGTATAGCTTATTTAGTTATTGGGAAATATGAAACAAAAATGTAAAAGTTACTCGCTGTTGGGCTGAAAGCAGAAAAAGCCCATTATACCTCTCAGTCGAGGGGCGATCCAACTTGAGTGAAATCGTGCCCTCTGGTTGGTCGAACCAACATGCCCACGGATCGCCAATTTCAACCGTTCGATTTTCCAAGATCCGATGGATGGCGTGCAAACCCTATCCTATCTTCTTTCTCCCCTACCCCCGCACCCACCAACTCCTCTTCCGCCGAGAAATCAGCCGCCATTCCTCCTAGCCTCTTCTCCAAGTGCCTCCCATCTCGCTGGTCGCATCTCGGTGTTCCGAAACGGACCACCACCGTGTGCCAGACGACCGAGGGCCCAGCCGTCGATGCTTCTTGTCGACCCGTTGCGCCGGCCTCTAGGAGGAAGACTTCTATGGTGATCCCGACGTCATCTGCGCCGAGGCCGCCCTCGTCCTCTTCTCCTTCAAAATCAATTCATTACTATCCAGCCCCTGCTCTTCTTGATCTCCGCTGCCCATTCTCCAATTCATCCCCCTTTCCTTGCAGGTCTTGGAGCTCGGAGGCCGCAGTAAGGGAAGGAGCGCCACCATGAAGTGCAGACACCCCAACAACCGGCGGGGCGTCGCGCTGGGCCACCAAGAGGCGTGGGGCTTCGTTGACCCTATGCCGAGGAGATGTGCTGACCCGTCGCGTAGATCTTTGTAGTGGTGGCCCCAGCCATCGATGGCCAATCACTGCAACGACCTCCTATCTCGACTGGCGGCGGTCAGTGTTGTGGACTACGGGGGTCGATGTCGTCGTCGGTCAGTGTTTTCCCCATCCACCGTGCATGCTGGAGGTCAATGGCATAGGGGCGATGACATGCTCGTCATCCCCTCCCACCGCTGCTTATCTGGTGTACACAGATGGCGTCGATGTGTGCTAAGATTGGAAAAGGGCGGCCATGGAGGGATGGATGTGCAGGATCTCCGGCGAGCGCTGGGTGATGACAAGGGGGTGGCAATGGTTGCATAGTGCTTTAGGGAGTAATTTGCAATTTTATTTTTTGTGGTGCACATTTTGATTTTGGTGGCATTTGTCATTTATTTTTGTTGAGTGATATGGCCTGAGTTATTAAAAAAATAACTGATGTGACGAAAATGTTAATTTTTTAGGGATGAAAATGTTAATTATGGATATTGTTGGATAGAATTTATGGGATGAAGACATCAGTTTGAGATAAGATTATTGGGCCGATTATGAAATGTGCCATAACTAAAACTAGTGGCTTGTAACCCTCATTGGGCCAATCTTCACATAGGCCGAAACCAAAATACTGGGCCAGAATCCTAAGTGGGCCGATAACCTTATGGACTGCCATCTCAGATCCATGTTGGCTCCCACGTCAGATGATGACATGGCATGCACGTTAACGATGTTAACGGCATGGCATCCATGATGGTGCATTTCTGTCATCGGTGGGGATCACATCCATGACAACTTTGGTAATCTGTCATGGAGTGCACCATGGTGAAATTATGACGCAATATACATGACGGATTTCAAATTCGTCATGGACGTCCACCCTGACAGTTTTGTGCCCACCTATGATGGTTCATCTCCGTCATGGATTAACAGATTTCTTGTAGTGAAAAGAATTAACTTCCTCTTCCTAACCCTAGATATTTCGTTCATGTAAATAGATTTTCAAACTTGCGGACTACATACATTATATTGATGCATATATGTATGCAGCGCTTATTCCCCCGATGCGTTTCACGGATGAACCACCTGGGCCACGAGACTTCGCATGCTCCTACATGCACACTCTCAACGTCTTCTCAATCAAGCTTGCTGAACTACATCGGGATTTAGCATGGCCATTGCATGTGTTCGGCATCGTCGCCGCACGCGACACTCTGGATCACAATCGTAATATCATCTTCCATCGCACCAAGGATAACTGGCAAATCATCCACCAGGAGGTTTGTGTTCGAATTCGTTGCTTCCCACAAGATTTTTCTGGTACATCTTCATATTGTAGTCTAAGTTGACTAAAGTTTGCATTTCTCTGGCTAACAAGCAATTAATATGCTCATGTTCGCTGTGAATCATATAAGCACCTAACCTTGAGGCCAAACTGCACCACATATACTCCCTCCGTTCCTAAATACAAATCTTTTTAGATATTCCACTATGGACTACATACGGATCAAAATGAATGAATCTACACTCTAAAATATGTCTATATACATCCGTATGTAGTTTGTAGTCAAATCTCTACAAAGACTTATATTTAGAAACGGAGGAAGTAGTTTTCTAAGTTGACTAAAGTTTGCATTTGAGTATGATCTTTGGTGCATCTCTGGTGTCACTATGGTGCACGTTTTCAGGTATAGAGGAGTTTTATGGAACAATAGTGCATGGCATATGCATGCACATTTTCACTCTTCACTTATTATATATTTAAACTGGTTCTATAGATCTAAAGGGTTCTCAAGATTTAACATGCTTCAAGATCAAACTCAAATTCATGTCGAATTTTGTGCCCCATGGGTCATTTTTGTGTCACCGACATATTTCTAATTGCCATTGTTCTAGTTACTTTCACTTGATATATGTCTCATATTTTTTTAACTTTTACGAGGACTTATACACGTCTTCTTATTAATCATTAAGGAGGGGCTATATATCAGCATTACTCGGTTAACTAATCATTGTGTGCATGCAGGATCCCTACCTAGAATTGACAGGTCCTATCCGTGGTATCGTGGTGATTGATCCTGTGAAATTTGAGGTTGTGTTGAAAGTGAAGGGCTCCACTGAATCTGAGGACAAAGATTTAAGCTTTCTGGTTGTGCGGTACTTTAGTGGCGGTAGTGAGAGTCGGTCACTTGTGATCAACAAAATCAGGACTAAGGCCAACTCCACCGCATGACCCCAAATAGACGTCCGCTTTGTCCGAATTTCGTCCATTTGGGGTGGGATTTGGGGTCGTGTCCGGGCGTGTCCTGGGATGCGGTGGCCGTGCGCCCAGCACGCGGCCGCATCTATTTGCCTCATTCTGTCTGTGTGTCTATTTAAAAAACCAAAAGAACGTTTCAAATGCCAAGCCCTAGTTCAGGCCAGCGGTCTACACGTCCATCGCCGCCATCAGCCAGCGGCCGGCAACACAGTCAGCCTCCAAAATGAATAGTTGTCCTCGCCGGCAACGCAGCCGGCCATCAAAATGAATGTTTTCTCGCCGGCACACAGCCAACGACCCAGCGGGCGGGCGGCACCCATGCCAGCCTCCAAAAAGAACGGCCATGGCTGATCGGATGACCTAGTTCAGGCCTTCGGCTTCGAGCATCTCCTTCTGCTTGGCCTCGAACCAAGCCCTCGTCTTATCGCTCATCTTCGACAAGTCCACGCTCATGATCGCAAGGGCCACCTCCTTCGCTTTGGTGGCAGCGTTCGTGGCATCGATGTCGAGCTACCACTGCCTGGCCTTGACGTTGTCGGCCTCGATGTCGAGCTGCCTTTGCCGGGCCGCCTCCTTCATGTCGATCTTCCTCCTCTTAGCCGCCTCCTCCATCTCAAGCTTCTTTCTTTGAAGGTCTAGGTATTGCTTCATTTGCTCCTCCTTGCTTTGCCGCTTCTTCTCGTCCCTCACATCCTTTTGGGACATCATGCCATGCAAAGTGTCATGCAATGCCATGGATGAGGCATCACGTATGTCATCAACCTTGGAGTTGGTCTTGCCCCTCGGCCTCTTCAAGGCCTCGCCATCTCCACCTCCGACGTACTTGGCCGTCTTTAGTCCTCTCTTCCTTTGTAGTTCACGGTATTGGTCCTTGAACTTAGGGAAATTGTTGATGATCGTCCAACAATGTGTAAGAGTGAATGGCTTGTCATTGTGCCGGGCCTTGAATGCCTCCAAAGATTGAAATGCCTAAATCACATGATCAACAACAAGTGAACATGCAAACATATACATGGCCAAAGTGTCATGCCCGTAGCAAGGAAAGGGCTAGGAAGAGGAGAGCATACCATGTCCCCAACGCCGAGACCACTCACGGGCCGTGCTTCAACGCTCTCAAATGCGGCGCAATACTTGTTGCACTCTTGTTGGATGAACAACCATCTCTTTTGAATCGAGCCGATGCCACGGTTGCTTGTAAATTGGTAGGGCTCAAACATCTTCCTTTCATGGAATGTTTTGTGGACTCTCATCCAAAAAACAATGCCCTTTTGTTGTGCGCCGGTCCTCGGATCTTGGCTAATCTCCATCCAAGCTTGGCGAATCAACTTGTCCTCATCTTGTGTGTATGAACCCGTGCGAATGCTCTTCCTCTTCTTTTGTGCTTCCGCTCTTTGGGTGAGCTCGTCGATGAACAATGGCTCGCCACTAATATCAACGTCATTGCCTTCTTCTTCATCACCGTCACCTTCAACATAGATGTCATCGTCTTCATGCCACGAGTCACCATGGTCGTAGTCAGCACGGTCGTCGGACTCTTCATCGGGCACATACAGGGCGCGGCCATCCTGACTTTGGGTCTCCTCGGGGTCGTAGGCACATCCATGCCCACCCTCAAAGATAACGTCCTCCATGTACTGGTTGTAGAAGGGGTCGTCGACCGTTGGCG